TTTTCCCATAGACTTACATTATATAATTTTTAATTCGTTTTTTGTGGAAGAAATATGCTTCAAAATTCCCTGAAAAAAATTGTTTGCCACTTGAATTTGAATTATTGAATACATTTTAAACTCAATAAGAGCATTTGGAGCATTGAATAGTTTATCTCTGTACTGTACACAGAAATTTTGGCATCTACAAAAATTACATACAAGTGAAAAAAGTAGAAGTCCCTCTAGGCTGTAGGTAATTTTTTTAATTAGCTAAATGGATGGTAATTTGGTGAGAGAAATGCTGAAGAACTTTTCTTACATCAATTTTAGGGTTGGAATATCTGTTTTATCACAAAATGTCCCTATGTCAAGTCGGTGTCCTCATGTCAGGCCTTATTTATTATTTTTTCTGGAAAAATAAGTGTCCGTATGTTGAATTGTCCGCAGGTTGAGGCATCCACATGTGGGGGTGTCACTGTACTACTAATTATTTACCCCAGTTGAAAATCAGCAGGGAGCAGACAATGACGCGGTCCTTATATATTAAGGATTGACTTTCAATTATAACTACAGTCAAACCTCTTGAAGCCAAACTTCAAGGGATCAACCAGCAATAAAATAGATTGAGCTAGGGATGTTCCAAGTTGCAAGGGCTTTTGTTTTGGGACAGAAAGTACATTAGCAGTATTATTTTGAAGTTTAATTGGTAATATTCTGTGACCTGAGTTATTTCTTGACTCTTTATTCGGCAGTGGTGCCAGGATTTATTTGAAAAATGTTGTTTCTCACAAGGCATAGAAAAAATAAAAAGCAGGGATGATCAGGAGAGACAAAGTTTGAAAAAATCCCAGTTTTTTTTCTTTTTTACAGGAAAATGTTTCTAAACCTCGGCTTCTGTGTGGCGTTTTTTGCATTCCTTTCAGTGGATTAGCATTGAGGGATTTCAGACACAATGGGTTACCTTCCCCAGATTTTTCCAGACTTTGGCTACTCAGCCAAATCTTTGTTTCAGTGACCTTTGGTCAAACCAAAATGCACAAGTGTGCAAAACGTTTCTGGCATTGCCAAGGGATGGGATTTAACCCACTGCCATACAAGGATTAATGAGTTCACAGTATGCTGAAATTGAAGGGAAGGCTATTTATAATTCCAATTAGCCTTTCACTTTTATTTGCATCAAGCTCCATTTTTATTACTCTTTCTCTGTTGTCTATCAATAAACTAATATGCATAATATCAAGAAAACCAGCAGAGAATTCAAGTTAGGGATGTCTGAAAAGGAAAGCATTCCAGTTAGGGAGATTTTTAATGCATTAAAAAAATGATTAATACAAAAACTTTAAAAAAATTAACCAAGCAAGTTTCCAGTTTTTGAGATTCAACTTTACAAATCAACATTTCTGCTATGGTCAAATTCATGAAAATGTGGCTCTGAAATATCACTAAACTTCTTCCATATGCAGGGCATAATTTTCCAGAATTCAGTCTCCGCATACTAATATATAGTAACTTTTCATTCCGAGAAAATTTTGAAGACGTTTTTCTTCGAGAGGTATTGATGGGATGGAAATCGTTTTTATGACATATTGACTCCTGATGTCAAGTTTCAATCAGCGTCATTTAACTCACTCAATTCACCTCACTTAATACTGTACAATTATTGAGGTGCACCGGAAGACGTATGATAAAATTTATCTTGTAAAATGTTTTACGCTAGATACGTGCACTCGTGCGCCCATAACTCACGTTGAAAGCAGCTTTGGGAGGGTTTTAAAGATTTATTTTCGGAAAGTTTAGCATACCAAAAGAGGTTTGCATGGCGCTCTTGACAGTCGACACACATAATGGTGAAAACAGTAATGGTGCGGAGAACATACAGTGCTCTTAAACGATCAAATGTTATACAAAAGCATGATCAGCTTAAACGAGAATAGAGAGAATAATTTGTCAGAAAGTAAAGAATGGATTTTGAATAGAGTACCGATTACCTGATTTCATCCCTGTGTCAAGTATGAAGATAAAAACTCTCCAACAATTATGAAAATGTTCTTGATGAAAATATTGCAAGCCAGAAAGGAATTGCAGAATTTCAAGAAACTCGTGACATGTGCAAGACTACGAGCCCCGTAGATTATACACCTGTATCTGATGAATATAACTAAACCTCCGCACCGCAAGTCCCAATTACAATATTTTGAATTTGTAAAATAATAATCGATCTTATGATTTTGTCTTTATATACAGTGCTGTATATAGAAGTTAAAAATCCGTTCGAGCGTCATCGAGAGACGAGAAAGCCGGCAGACGAAGTATACTCCTGAAAATATGGTCAAGGCTGCATGCTCAATACTGTGCGGCTAAATCATTTTGAAAGTGAATCTTCAACACGTGAAATTGATGATTCAATCTCAAGCGCTTTTCTTTTTGAAATCTGTTTTTTTTTTTGCGATGACCAGCAACCTGGCCGAGAAGTGAGCCCTGACTGGGAGAACGAAGATCAATCAGTCGCGGTATTTCGCATGAATATATATAGGACTCCTTGGCAGGGCTCGTTAGTCAGACATACACTCTGTTTTCCCCTTGTTTTCCGGCGGACGAGGAACAGCTGCCTAATCGAATGAATGAATCCGATTCGCTGCTCGATCGGAAATCAGCCGAGCTCTCTGCCCGTGGTACCAGAACATCCCCGAGATTGAATGAACGAACGGAAGCCCCATTTCCAGGAGCTAAGAAAAACTCCCCAAGGAGGGAAACGGTATCAGTTTTACTCCGCTAGAATGATCTATCTTCGGAAGGAGTGTAATCAGTGGGCTCGTTCTTCTAGTCCGAATATTGCATTCTGATTTCGGACTCGGCATAAAAGATAAACTGCGAAATAAACGAACCACGAGAAAATCGCCTGGCTTTGAGCAAACCAGCACTGCTGACAGCTGCGAAAACGACGGAGGTGTAGCGAAACTGTACAAGCAGTGACATCTATGTCAAATGAAGCGAACATGCCAGTCCGTCCAAAACGCCACAAAATGTTCCGCGTTCCAACTGTTCCGTAATCTTCGTCTCAGTCGTCTTTCGTTTCGATAACCGAACAAACTGATGACTTCATTTAATCTTTGATATCTCCGAATTTAAGCAGATTGGATGTCTAGACCAGAGTTCCCCAACCTTTTCTGGCTCACGGACAAGCGAATTTTGATAATTTTTTTGTGGACCAGCAAAGTTGCAAAAATAAATTTTGCATACGGGCCAAAATTTATTAGTTTGTGTCCGAGTTTCGAAGTGATAAAATTGAAAGAATTGTTGAACAGGTTGATTTTTTCTGATGCCTTCAAGATTAATCATTTTTACGTACAGTACGTCGTTATACAGGTACTTCAAATGAAATTCGGGATGCATTTGGATCTTGTTCTAAGGTGAAAATACTGAATTCAACATTAATCAAGCATAGAAATTCAGAAAATTGTTCTTTGTTTTTGAATATTTCCGGGAATTGAATAATTAATTTAATTACAATAACAAAAATGTACCAAAATCTTGAAATCAATCGATTTAAAGTCAATGCTGAGGATGATCCGCCAGAAAATATTGCATATGAGGAGCTTAAAAACGTTTGTTCGTAAACAATCCGCAATTTTTTGAAGATCTCCGTTTGATTCGTGTTTATGAAGTGAAATGTCCCATTACAGAATTTTAAAATCAAGATTTTTATTAGATAATTACTTAAACCTAGTTTTCCCACTCTTGGTGAATCTGTAAAATATTGTTGCTTGGTGGAAAAGATACTGCAGCATATATATACAGAAGCCAGAAAAGTGAATCTAATTCGTAAAGGTTTTGGAAAAAAAATGAATAATCTACGTAGTTCCGTGCCGCATGACAAATTTGAAAATAATAATGAGGGGATCACCTGTGAATTTTTGAAAGAAAATACTCAAAATTGAAGTGGTGACGTGTGTTTCTAAGAGATTATTCGTCCCAGATGACACTGTCTATAGTGACTCGACAAGTTAAAAGGGCAAAAGGTCTAAGATTGTTTTCATATATGTGTTTTTGAAATCGAAGACGTCAATAGCTGACTATTCAAAATGATCCATTAAACATAATTTTGGTAGAAAAAATAAAACGCTTCCATAATTCCATGTGCTGTACATACATTATATAAATTAACTGCTGAATCGTTTCCATCACACATCACGTTATTGTGTATGATACAGTATGCAGATCTATGAACATGAACACCGAAGAAAAAATACTTCGATTAAATTAGAGCATTCGTTTTACACGGAATAATGACAAGAACAAACCATCGATGCACTTCGCTCATCTGAAAATATATGTACAGCATGATGTAGTGCCCTTGGATTTGCGAGGATATTCTCCATAATGATAGCGAGTTCTCTCTATTCGCCAGCATTTTAACCATATTATGCTTGATTCTTTGTTTTAACTTTCACAACATGATAAAGCATTTTGCATGGTCCTTTAAGAAACTACCACACTAGAAAAGCTGAATCGCAATTCGCGAAGGGTTCGACTCGATTTTGAAGCGAGAATACGCATCATTTTAGTGATCGATTGCGCTCCTGCGATACACGCTGTTCAAATGAAGGATTACGTCTTACTTTTAAGCGGGCGTTAACCGGACCAATCACAGCTTCTGTCTCGTCGATTTCCCGCTGAAATTGTATCAGTCCCTGCTCGTCTGCTGGATCTCGAGTTAGTTGGTTATTGACTCTCTCTGGTCAAGTCGGCCACAAGTGAAGGCCGATGACGACAAAAGTCGATTCGACGTTTCTTATTCTTAGTTGATGAAATCGTAGTTCATTCGAGTGAGGAGGTGCAGACATTCATAGAAATATTCAATCACTATACCCCAATTACATAATCTTTGAAGTGGACAACGTGGTGCTCGATTTACTTTCGGATTGATTGCTTTTCGTGTTTTCTTTCCATGGTGTCTGTCTAGAAAAGTTGCGAACTCGAATTTACGAGTGTTGATTCCACGGACTTTTGAGTGCTTCATGTGGTTCATCGGTGACAATCACAATTCCGGTGAAATGCACGATGACGCTTTCTTGAGGTGAGTGATACACTGATAATCAAGCTCTCTTATCAGCTAGGGTACTATGCACCGGAAATTCTTGATGCAAGAGCTAGTGTTCAGGGAAGAAGGCGTGTGGATGACGCATGACTCCATGAGTCATGTCATTTCAATGCTGTCCATTGCCAGTTCGTGCAGGAATAAATGAGCCGAAAGCTACCGCGTTTTTCTGTGTGCTTCAGCAAGTGCATATCGCAAATGATATAACGGTAATTTGTCTCTTCCTCGTGTACTTCAGCATTGGAAACGTGATTTCCATGTTTCAGTTGGATAGTTTCTGAAACGATATCCTTCGTGCCACAAACGTTATTCTCAACAGCGGGATAATGCTGCAGAGACTTCAAACGGAATGTCAGAAAACTTCAATAAAGAATCCGATCAACGCAGCATAGCGAGTCTTAATCATCTAGCTGAAACTACGGTACTCGTATGTTTCGTTGTTATCTTTTTTCTGCGACGTTGAAAGTCGAATCGACATAGAAATCGTTAATTTAAGAAAGTATTTCCAAACAGTGCGGTAATACAACTAATATGCCTATTCGGTAACGAACTTTGGACACACGCTTGGTGTAGTTTTAGTATGGAAAAAGTTCGACTGCATCCGCTGGCTCGAATGAAAGTTTTTTTTTCACTGTTCAATCATCCAGAATATGCAATGATGACTAAACTGCGTGTCCTATATTTGGAGAAGACACGTCAACTATATGTAATTCCCTATCCTACGTCCTACACGGCGTTTAAATGTTCAGGGGTTTGATCCCCGTAGCTGTTATCTGAGATCATAGAGGAGAAACGGAATATGTGTATTATTCGTGAATCAATGGATCATTTAAAAACCGCAAACACGGTCGACATCGTTGCATTCTTTTCCATATAGAAACGTGAATTTCCGCATCATACTTGGGTGTTGGAGGAGAGGGAATGTTTGTCACTTTTATCTTATCTTTGTGCAACCAGGAGAGTGTCGATCGAAGCCAAGGCACAGAGAGTACTACATTCAACAGCGTGTGTCACACATCGAAGCGAATCGGCTTTTTGTTTTGTCCGCGTGTGATTCGTCTCAGTTCCTTTTAAATCGTCATCCGTGCTAGGCTATTTTTTCATCGTGATTTTTTCAGAGAACTCCTCGGTTCCACCCATTGGTTCGAAATGCCAGAAGGAACCGAAGAAGTGAACTCTTCGGACGAGATTCCTCGGACCGAAAGCAAGTGCACGGCTCCAGAACTCGAGCACTTGAACGAAGTTAGCGAGCGTCTGCGCGAAAAACTTCCGAAAATCCACTTCCACATGTTTCAGCAGGTAAGAAAATATATTCTATACCTAGATCACCGCAAGTGAGGTGTGAAAAGCCTCAAAACGTTAGTTTTTGAGGAATTCCAGCAATTTTAGAAGCTAATTTGAATGTAGCAGACTTCGTTGAGTGAGGAAGGCTGCTTATTGAGACTGAACTCGAAACGTAACTTACTGAAATGTTTTGTCTTGAACCCAAAGCAATTCATGTGCAGTAATGTATAGTGCAAGAACTGAATGTATTTATTCATCACTGGGAGATGTTAGAGCATAACGTGAGAATTCATAAATGCATTCGTTTTTCAGGTTTTTGTGTCTTGATTGATAAATATTAACTTTAGCTTTTGAGTTGCAGACAGTCCCCTGTCTTCCAGCCGCATTCGCTTGAAGTTTTTTTTCTTCTAAAAACTCCTATTACTCAAAGAGAAGGACCAAAAAAATTCCAAGTTTTATACTGCGAAATACAAACTTTTCTCTTGGAGTAAAAAAAAGGGATTTCAAAATATTGCATACCTCTGCAAGCTGCTTCAGTAAACAAAAATTTAGTCATCATATATTTTCTCCTGGAGAAGATTACGGGATTTTACTGGAATTTGATGCTGTTCGTATTTCGCAAAATGCTCCGTCTGAAGCATAGTTTACGTAATGAATGAACGCATGAATTACACTTTTTGCGAAAGAAAATTACAGTATCTGAATTCATCTTATCGAATGCGAAATGATGTACGAACCCATCATGCCCATTTCTATTTTGCACAGAATGGGCAACGTTGCTGTGTTCGATTGGGACTGAAGGGCTCACAAGTAGCTGTGAAAGGTAGCGAGGTGTTCATAGCTCGCATTCCAAAGGATGTCTTCGAAGATGAACTCGTACCTTTGTTCAATCGAGTCGGAGAGATATGCGAATTTCGTCTAATGATGGATTTCTGGTGAGCAAAACTCCAGTGAGCGAGTGAATCAAACACAAAAATAAGCGAAATAGCGAAGTTTTGGTGCAACATTTCAATGATGAGGGAAACTGACGCCGGCCAAAAGCTTTTGACAGGAATTTCATTCCGAAAAAACGAACTGAACACCGATTCGCGAGAACACCAAATTGAAGCTGTACCATTAAGTTTTTTTCTCGAATTATTAGAATAAGGCACGGACTTCGTCCTCAGATTTTACTTTGTGTGTGGTTTTTTTCGCGTAGACGCTTTTTTCACCACGACTTCGGTATTTTATAGCCACAACCTACGAACTTGATAACAACTGTGGTCAAAGCGCCAGTCTTCGAAGAAAAAACAATTTGCTTTCGAAGTGGCAAAATAATGCAACGAATTTCCCGTGTAAAGTAGGATGCCGAGTAACGGAAACCTTGTTCACTCAAGGTCGAATCATGTGTCTAGAGGTCCCAAGAAGTCTGCTACTGCAACGAAAACGTGACTTTCCGTTGTCCGAGTTAGACATCAGCGTTTACTTGAATTTATCTCGAGAAAAGGTCTTTGTCCTTGAGAAGAAAGTGGAGCTCATATAAACAAAGTGTCAATCCGTTGCTTTTAGCCGTTGTAATTCGGAGTTTTTCCGTGGCCCGAACAACTCTGAATTTTGACCTTGGCAGCAGCAATGCGTGTGGGCTCAACTTCAGCGGATATTGATGCTTGAAACACGTAGGATGAAACCGAGATTAACATTCTGGATATATAAGATGCAAAAACATGGGAAAAGATGAAAGACGTAAGGCACCCTGTGTTAAGAAGCGAAGTACAGTAACTAGAAGAAAGACGTCGGCAAATTAGAGATGGAGCAAACCAAATTGGTCGATTCATTTCTACAATGTACAGTAACTTTGTTTGAAATTTTGGAACGAGATTTTATCCCACCGAACTTATGAATCCTTAAAATCAATTGTCAATCGCTTACACGCAATTACAGTACTGTGAAAACTAGATGCTTGAAAGCCAGAAAATCATCGCGTCGGAAAGGTTACTTTCTATTAACTACTTTTCACCGTTTGATTTTTTCCAGTGTACTTTCATCTCCATGATTATTGCTTGTGTGATTGTTTAGTGAATTTCTGACAGTTCATTAGCTTGATCATTATACATTACTGAGATCCGGCTTGCCACATATTTCGAGAATTCTGCGATTTATTTTTGTATTTATTCAGGCGCTTACCTGAACTATACTATAATGCCATACAGTATATCCTTTTAGAACGCTGCTCGACACTATCTGCAATGTTAAAAAATAGATAGAAAAAACTGTATTTAAATCTTACTCGAGAAGTAACATTCTGTGTACTGATGCATGGGATAAATTAAAAGCCGCTTCTATGAATAACAGGTAATTGATGTCGCCATCGATGATAAGTTGTACTAAATTTTCAAATTATGTCTAAATCTGAAGTTGTTCATTTCCTCAACGCGCTGAAGATTGGTTAATGCCTCTAACGCTAAACGCATTGTCCGAATCCAGGTTTTTCGGATTCTTATACTGTATACCGGTAATACAGGATCGAATTGCGCGCAAGTGCTGTGTTCCGCCAACTCCGGAATTCTTTGACTGCATTTTAATTAATCGTGATGAAGTGCATTAAATTTCGTCTAATTCTTCATTATTCATAATTTTTTAAAGTTGCATGAATCGTGGCTACGGTTTCTGTCGCTTCTCCAACTGCGAGGATGCATCTCAGGCTGTACAAGAGCTGAACAATTATAGATTTAAAGATAGCCCGAGTCCACTTGGGGTTGTGCTATCCAAGGATAATTGCAGATTGTACATTCGCAATATCCCGAAAACCATGACGTTCGACGACTTCTCGACTGCAATACAACGAGTGAGTGCCAACATTTTTTTTCTTCTTGAGTAATATGTCTCTGGAGATCGAGCTTTAAGTTGAACCTCGATAGTGTACATTTAATATCCCTGAGTCAAATTCCTTTCTGTGTCGATTTTTTAGAAGTCCGTGTACTGTTTTTTTTTTTAGGAACAATGCATTAAAAACTCCTCAACTCCAAAATGGCTTTTCGAGCTTAAAAAAGTAAAATTTTTCGGAGGTATTTTGCTACTCTTTTAGTGACAAAAGAAAGAGAAGAGCAGTAAAAATTTGGAAATTGTTGTGCTTTGAAGGGAAGTGAAAGATGAATTGGCCAATTTAACCCTCGCATCCAAGTTCAGTATCCTGTCTTCTCATTCAGTGAAAAATTTAAGACCCAGAACGTCACCAAGTGCAATTTTCAATAATTATGGTTTCTTTCCTTCGCAAAGCAAAAGGGCTTGTTTCTTCAACTTGTAACCTACCTAATTGGATTTTTGTGGCCCCTTGAAGTTTGATCGGAAGAGGTTTGACTAGTACGGGTTTTACTAACTTCCTTATACGGAGTTCCATGCCTCGTTCTTGATTAAGTTATTCACGCGATATAAAATAAATTAAGAAAACCGGAACAATTCTGGTTTTTATAAATATATAATTGTCAAGCTAATATTAGCTAAACGGGCGAAAAGGTAGAAAAAAGGAAAATCCTTAGATCATCCCACGATCGCTCAAGCTTGTAATGGGAAAGGAAGTTTTTTTTTCAACGCAAATTCCAGCGTGATTTTTTTTTAAATCTTCTTAATTTATTCTTGAAGAATCATTTAAAAAATCGAGAGACTGGAACTTTTATGTTAAGGATTTCATCGGTTTCCTGGGCCGTCATCGATAATATTTTATTCGCCAAAAATCACTGCTCAACGAAGACGCCGCAAAATTTTAATTTTTCCAGAGGTGCCAACCACAAGGAAGCGAATGCTCTTATTCCTAGAAAATCAAGAAAATTGTTCTTTTTTATTTGCAGGTATACAACATGCAGCAGTATTACAACTGAAAATTTTCCCCGTGTTGTAAAAGCGAGACCATGTGGTTCATCAGACTCCAATGGTTATTTAATTAGTGCGTCGTTCAGGGCAAAATTCGTGTGCGCATCGTAGATTTGATCGGTCAACTTCACATATTTCCGGCTTCTCAGAGGAATTATTTCTGATGAAATTTCCCCTTTCCTAGCTAACCAAAGGAGTGAGGGAAGTGATACTTCTGCCCTGCATTTTCGATCGTAGCAAGAACCGAGGCTTTGCATTCGTGGAATACTGTTCACACAAGGAAGCTGCGATGGCGAGGCGATCTCTCACCAACTCCAGTGGCAACAGGACCATCCAGGGTTCAGTGTTATTCGTGGACTGGGCTGAGCCTGAACGCGACGTTGATCCCGACACAATGAAAACGGTTCGTTCTACTTTACTGTACAGTATTACATTTATATGTTACCGGAAAAGTGATCCCCAAGTGAGTTGCGCACCTTGATTTTTTAGTGTGGAATTTGTCCAAAAATCTTCTCTCACATATAACACACATTCTTATCAGTTGGAATTGAAAATAAATTTTTTAAATGTTGAACAAAAAATCGCTCAACTTATTTAAAATAACAGAGAGCACTTCAAAAGGATTGGTAACAAACAAACTATCACATACCACACATACTCAACTTTTCAGCCTTGATTTTGCAGAAGAAAGATGCATGTGCGTACTTGAGAAAAAACCATAACCCGACACAAAAAAAATACTGTATTAGTATTGTAGGAGAGACGTGTCTCAATGACTTGTAAGATGACAAATGCTTGAAATCCTCAGCATACTAATATGAAACCTACCGGAAAATATTCTGGAACAGAAGCGAAAAATCCCAATCGCATGATTTTATTATTGTGCATTTTCCTATGAAGCCTAATCTACACCTGTCGCATTTTACTGGTGATCTCAGATACGAGCTCTATGAAGCCTTCAGACATGCATGCAATGGTTACATTCGTTTCGCCCGTTATCTGCAGAAAATATAAAGAACTCATATATTCACCCTGCATTTTAATGCGTGAATCGAGGTGACATTTATGAGTTCTGGGGAAAGACTATATCTATCTCTTAAAAAAAAGAAACAACAAAAAGATAGGGAACACTGCATCGATAAAAATCTGCTGATTCCTGATAATCCCTGTCTGCCCTTTCACCAAAAAAATCGTGTTCGAATCCAAATGCTGTACATCTATGAGTACAGTAAAGTGGAATATATGCTGATTTCGGGGAAATGGATGTTTCAATTGCGAAGACATTCGGTGAAAGAAACTTTTCAATAACTGATGAAGTAATAATCCAAGCATTCGTGATCGTGAATATCGTGATACGCTCAGTCAAACCTGGATATGATGTCATCACTTATTTAAAAAGATTTTGGAACTTCAATGGGGGTGGGGGTGGTTTATCAGATAGTTTATTCAAAATTTATTCGATTACTATTGCTGAATTTTCCTCCAATAGAGCACAAAGGCACGTTTTCAAGAAGCTTCCGAAATTTTCGAATGAGTATTGCTGTGGTAGATGGAATTCTTGCTCTGGAAATTAAATTTACTCAATCAAATTTATCCGAATTTTTAAATTAGGTCTAAAGTATCTATTATTCAAATTATTCATAAGAATAAAAAATTTCATTTTTGTTTCTCTTAAAAATGCCTAGACATAAATTACGGTATAATTCAATGCCAATGTTGTAATGAAGACAAACTTAATACCGAACATTGCTTTGTTTCATCATTAATGCTGGCAGATGGCGTCTCTTCACGGTCAATCTAGGGCAGTGTACCCCAACCTTTTTGGGCCAACAGACTGGAACATTTTAAGAAAAAAAAAATTGTTTGTACCTACAAACTATCATGACTTTTTTGCGGATTCAAAAATGTTTTATTTGAAAAACTTCATGGCAGGTACTTTATTTCCAAGTTTCTGATTTTTTTCATTATGTTAAGGACCAATAAAGCAGCTGTAGTGGAATGTCTTCCAAAAATTAGAAAGGTAGGCTTGAGGAAAAGTTTCACGGAATTAAAAATTAATATAATTTTTTTCAGCAGGTTAAAATTTGTCCGGTGTTATTAGAGGAAAAGGAATTCAACAGGGGTTGACTGCATTTCAAATTTTTTTTTTTCCCCAATAGGTTAAAAGCATTTTCGTGAGGAACCTTTCCCCAGAGCGAACGAGCGAATACATAACCAAGGGCTTCGCTCATCTGGCCGGTGTCCAACCCCTTCACGTTTGGAAGAATCGGGACTTCGCATTCGTGAATTTCGCCGAACGCAGCCAAGCGGAGTTGGCCTTGAATAACGCTTCAGTGCCCGGTAAACTGGGTGAGCAAGTCTTTCTTCATTTGTTTTTCGTTGTTGTCAATATGTGATATTTCCCAACCTATCTTCACTCAACTTATCGCGGCTGGAATCTTCGTGACGTTGTCGGTTTTTTGTTTGTTTCCAGCAGTAAACATGGTTTCGGAGCAGATTTTCCTGTGCAGCGGGAATCCATGCACCAAAACTGAAGCTTTTATATGGAAAAATATACGTTTGGTCAAATATCCCTGCTAATGTATTTACGCTAGAATATGTGGTGAAGCAGAGGTTCTTAGCTTATTTGTGATACCTGACATATGCTCCGCAGAGGATTCTTGACAAAATATTTTAAGACCGTATTTATTTGAGAACCATATACAAGCCCGTGAGTGAGGCATTCATTCCGATTTTTCACCCAAAAATTGGGATTGAAAATGTATCCCGGAGTGAGATGCTCACCCCATCATCCAGACTGAAAATTTCAATACTGTACTGCATTACGAAAATTTAATAATTACAAATTTACTTTTCGACTTGGGATTGTTGTCATGATGCATTTTAATTTTTAATCATTTGCTTTTTACAAATTTTCTGGAGGAATCTGATAGATTGTAAGCTTTGGTGAGATGCACCAAAGCTTTGAATACTCCATTTTCAAAAAATTTACAGTACCTGTCTATGATGTGCACCCTCTGTTTTTTATTCTTAATTTTTAATTAAGGTGCGCTTGGTATCTGAGTAAATACATTAGTGTATATTACTGTACTGTATATAATCAGAGGAAAGGCGGAGACATAAATTTCAAGCCATTTCACAATTTTGCGTGAATGGAGACATTATTATTCAGTATTTTTGACTGGAAGATAAGGTTGGAAGTACTAAATGTGTCACTCAAGATAGGTTTAAAAATATCCCAAATTCTAATGTGGCTCATCATTCTTTCTTCGGAAAATTTTCATTTCCAAATGGGCTTTTAGATGAACCTCGGATGTAAATTGCTGTTCAGATTTTTGCGCCCTCTGTGGGTTTTTTTCAGTTGTTTGAGATGTTCTTTGAAAACCGTTTGGGTTTGAAAAGTTTTCAACTCCAACCCTGTGGTTTTATTTTTCCGTCGTTTGAGATGTTCCTTGAAATTAGTTCAGTTTTGAAAAGTTTTCAACTTTGAATTTAAAACCAGAAGTGCTAAGCTTATCAGGAGTTTGAGCTTTTTCATAACCCGTCAATATTGTCAATTTTTTACAACCAGTGATCCAACAGAAATCACCAAAAATAGGCCATAAAAAAACTCCAGGGGAATTACTGTAGACAGGAAATTAAAACACAACAAAGTCTCATATATTTTGATACAGTACTTCAATAGTAACTGAAGCATTCTGAATATTTTACGTGAGTCATGTAGTTCTATATCTCCAGTATACTGTACTGTTTTTGTGACATCATGGATGAAATCATCCGCACCATTCCCGACAATGTTTACGTCATATACTCTGTAAGGTTAATTGAGGAAATGAGATCAATCTCAAGTAAAGCAGAGCAAAAAATTAATTGTTCCATTGCATCGAGATTTCATTGACAGAAAACGTGGGGAGTTGCAGCATGAGTATGTTTTCGTCGAATAATCGAATCACTGCTGTTAGCGGATGTACATTTTTTCCTTGCCGAGAAACCGCGAAATATTGAACATGTTGAAAAGACCTGTGTTTCCAAACCGGAAATATCATCTCCGTACCGAATTTTTCTGCTCCAGTACATCCATCATGCTTGAATGAACAATTTGATCCGTCCGATCATCACACGGAACTGTTGTACAATAGTTATAAGACCTGTGTTTCCAAACCGGAAATATCATCTCCGTACCGAATTTTTCTGCTCCAGTACATCCATCATGCTTGAATGAACAATTTGATCCGTCCGATCATCACACGGAACTGTTGTACAATAGTTACAGTCGACCCTCGTTAAACCGCCAACGTTTGTCATACAAAATTTTGGCGGTTTAACGGGGTTGGCGGTTTATCGAGGGAGGGGGTGCCCCTATTAAAAAAAAAAACAGTTCAAACACCCACCCTTCTCCGCCTGCCAGTCCATTCTTTCTTTCTTGGGAGCTCTTCCATTCTACATATATTAAAACACAGAGAACAAAAAATTTTAATGCTGAGTTTAAAGATAAATTTGTTCAAAGTTAGTTAGTTAGGATGGGTTA